GCGACCCTCAATGAAGATGTTGCTTCCGGGAAAGGGCCAGATGCCGTTTTGGTAAAAGCATTCCTTAGCGCCATAGTCTACCGATTTATGCCTCCCTCGGCAGACAGACAAAGAAACCTAGAGCGCACCAAATTTGCCTAGTAAGATGGTTCGAAGACCCGCGAAATTTGTCGCTTCGACTCATCTAATGTTGAGAACGCCTAATTTACGAAGGTATTGCACGTTTGTGTTCATTCTCGCGCAAAGCGGTACGGCGTGGTGTCTGCAAGCGCGGTGCTTCGTGCTTTCTTTCTGAACAAGATGAAAAGATATTTAACTCATTTTCCCTCATCCTAACAGACCAACATTTTCCGTTATGCCCCCAAAATACCGGTTGTTCAACTTCAGCGGCCGCACAGTCGGAACTTTATGTTTCTTTTATATTATCCGGTTGCGGAGCTTCTGATCGTGCCTTCCCAGAGCAATTTCAAATCTTGTAGGTGCCGACTTGAAGCTATGACCGTCCAGGCTCTTATCCAGCCAATTTTCGGATTTAAGATGGCGGTAGCTTATTAAGCCGGTCATTTATCTCTGGGCTCAGGATCGGAAAGCTAATCATGACAGCCTTATGCACGACACGCACGCTTGCGCTAAATAGGAAGGCTTAATAGTAATGTGGTTAAACTGCAACTGTATTGACAAGGTCTGTGGTTCCTCAGGCTCCATGTATAGCACCACAAGAGCTCCTGGAGGTTTTACGTGTAAAATCTACATATATCGAAGTGAAAGTTATAGAGCTGATATATAGAACTTTTGGAGCACTGACGTGAGCTTAGGGGGTCCTTGTAAAATTTGTAATTGATTTTATTTGAAGATTTGGTGCCCTGAGGTTGAAACAAGCGAACTACGATAATTTTAAACTTAAAATCTCCGTGGAAAGCTCCCGCAAAGTGAATAGTTTGCACAAATCATTTCATATGGTAAAGACACGTTGGTCTCATCACCGGTGTAGATTTTCAAAGTTGGGGATTGTATTGACTAGTTCTCGAATGTTATCACTGCAATGATTTCACACACAGAGCATTCATGACATCATCCAATGATGTCACACAGTGCATGTGGGATCTGTCGTACTGTAATTCCTGTGTTTTTCCCCACAACACACGTCAAAGTAGCTGTTTACAACAAAAATTCACTATCATGCAATGGCTAGGTATGGCTCATCACACCGGTATTGAATTAATCTTCACTCCTTGATTGTGGGGCTGAGCTAAAAGGGCAATTAAGTGCAAAGAGGGGTGCCGTGACGTTGCACAGAGAAAACTTCGACATTCAGAAGTCGTGTTTACAGACGCACAGAGAGTGCGTAAAAGATGATTACGAGCGCTCCTACAAGGATTGGAACCAAAAACTTCTTTTGCAATATGATATCTAGTAAGCTGTGCCATTCAAAAGTACATGTATTTATGATTTAATGGTACATACTAATACTAAAAACATATGATGACTATCTCTTGGAAAATCGATCTATACTTTCCAACTCGCGGCTAGTAGCCCACATGACTCCTTTTTGAAGTTTCGTCACTGTCATACCTACCGATATTCTAGTACTAATCAGAATTCAACTACATGTAATGTGGATTTCGGAAAAATTGAAATAGTTTAGTTGTAATAAAATGTGTTAAGGGTAGGTAAGCAAAAATCCAATGCTTGTTTTGAATCACACTTTTACTGATAATGGTTCCAAGTCACTTACCTGGTTCGATACCCACAGAACCCGAAAAAAGCAGCCGGAAATAGGTCACTTAAGTGGACGAGCAATCACACTAAAGAAGTTTCTGTCTGCCAACTCATACCCAAATGGGTGTGTGATTGCTGGGTGGGCTGGATGCCCCACTGACCAAAAATTCGACTTAGTGTAATACAGAGTATGGAACTGGGTTTCAAAAATAGCTCAGATGGCTACCAGCATATCGCGGTAGAGAATGCTTAATCTGAGTGTGTGGGTTCCGGTAGCTCAAATCTCTTTCCAAAATGGCTTTGCCGTATGACTCTTAGTTGGGCACAGGCGCCGGGTTGGCCGGGTTGGTACTCCAAGTGATACTGTGGTCGCTCTTCATGAAGAACAAATCCTTCGCCTCACTAAGCATAGATCGTAGTTTGACGGCTCGGGGGATGCCTTTCTCACCTAATCTTTGAGTCATGTAGATCCTCACTTGGATTATTCTATTGCGAACAGGCATTTTTAAGTTCAACTGGAAGAAATGGACTTTTTTTGTATCATGGGTTACACGTATCCTGGTATAAAGGGGTGGGTCACAGAAAAATGGGTTGACCACAAGATGGTGTGGCTACACCTTAACAAGAAGCGTATATTAATTAGGTTCTACTATTTAATTAGTAAAATCTATAGATTTAGATATTTGCCGCAAATAAAACATATAAAATACAGTTTACAATCTGAACGAAAGAGTTTTGCCCTGGATTAAAGTTGTGGTTACTACTTGGAATAAGCGGATTGCGATCCGCTACACTCATACTGCTTCTAGTACAGAACGTAAGGTCATCGACCTTAGCTTAGCTTCCTTTAAGCAAAAGTGCTACGGTAGCCCCGCTGCATTTTTCCTCGATATGACATTCACTATTTTGCCCAGTCTTTAAACAAAAAATGACTGTGTCCCCACTGTGATACAAATTTTATTGGATGGTGCATTACAGTGTTTTGTGCAGATTACATCCGTCATAGGTCAAGGCGATTCTCAAACTAAATCATGGAAGTCATCATTAATAACAGAGAGCTTGATAACTCAGGCTACAGAGGCAACAACGCTTGGAATGGATCGCATGATGCGTGATTGCACTGTCTTGACCGATTTCTTAAGCGGCAATCGCAGATCTTGTGCAGTGAAAAATTAGACGAAGAAGGCATGTATATCGTTAGCTTGAGGCACAACGAAACCTTTATGTCAATTATCAATTTACATTACGTACTAAACATTTCTCTGCTGGGTCATCCATCATATGATGCACAGCTTGCTGGCTTAGGTTACCATCAAATGTGTTTTCCTGTGTGAAACACTTCTCATTCGTTTAATAATAAGCATGCTGGTAATATACGATTCAAACCTCCAAATCATTTGATGCTAAACGTTTGAAGTTTCGCTGGTATATGTCTCAAATGCTTAATAGCTGAATGATTTCGTGCTGCGAACTAGCAAATTCAATGTGCATGAAACATGAGCTGACGTCAAAGAATAACATTAAATTATATCAAGTAGTAAATAGCGATCTTCTTGTTCGATCACTTGACAGAAAGCGCTGGTCAAATAGACGAAAGCACCGGATCCAGTCGTGCTTCCGTCGCCCAAGCCACTCGATCGGCTGTCGAAGACATGGGACAAAAGACACAGTGATAGTCGACTCGCTACAATTCTAAGACGGAGATGAACTTCGTTTGGTCAAAAAGGAACTGAACGAGCTTGACCTCGATACCCACAAATGCGCTGTGCATGGAGTTTAACTTTTCCGACTTTATTTCCAGTCAAACCCCGTGTGCGAACTAGCCAGCGCTCGTCGTGCTGAGGTGCCTAACGCAGACGATAGCGAGGTACGAGTGCTTTTCAAGGAAGCGCGACGCGGCTCGGTACCATATTTTGCAGGTCCTATCGCGGCTCTCGACGACGCAAACACAGGAGGTTTTGACGGTGCTGAAGCGGCACGATGCAACGTGCGTGTATCGAGCGATGATTTTGAAGACGAAACGGGAGATTTTGTCGATGCTACCGTCTTTTTCGATAACCAACCTGCTGAAGCTTGCTGTCTAGCAGATGTCGGGGCGGGAGGACTTGCTGTCTTGAAAGGATTCAGCGGCTTTTGACACTCTGCCGAGATGACATCATTCCGTCGTAGAGATTGAGACGTTGTCGTGCCGGATTGTGAACGCGATTGAAGCGGAGACCCCGACTCGCAATGATACTCTTTGACGGCAGTTTGACCTGCTGTTAGCGACTTGCGACGTTGGTATGAATCTACCTTTTCATCATTCAAGTCGAATCGTTCGAAACGCTCATCCTTTGCTTTAAGGCGTTGAAGCCGAGGGACGGCTGAGGATTTTTGCGCCGAATCTGACACTACTAAATTGAGAGCAGGTTTCGACACAGGTGATTTTTGGGATCGGTAAAAGGTAGCTCTTTGCAATGATGAAGTTGTTGACTGCACTGACCTCACTGAACGGCTCGATCGCGCTGAAGTCGTCGACGCAGCACTGCGACTAGATTTGGCTGACAGCGTAGGGCTTGATGGCCGTGAAAGCGGTTGAAAAGAAGCCTCTTGTATTGTACCATCCGTTTTAAAGCCATGTAAAGCTTGCTGGCTTTCGTCAAGATACCACAAGTGTCGTTTAAACGCCTCGTTATTGCTCTGTGCGTCATATAATTCATGTTCAAACTGTTGACACTGTTGCTGCAATTTAATCACCTGTGCCTCTGCTGTCTGTATTTTTGTTTCAAGCACCCGATTCTCTTCTTGAAGCCTAAAGAGAGCACCAGTTTCAACACTTGGCTTGATTGCTCCCATCTGAACTTGACTTACACGTGCACCAAATTGTAATGAGCACGTCGTCTCTTCAGCGTCTACAGCATCAGGACTCACTTGCAACATCACTAATGTCTTTGCTTGTCCAGACAGCATATCCCGTAGCATATACGTGAGCTTTGAATTACGAAACGGCGTATGTTTAGCCTTGTGCTGTAGTGCATACACAACATCTCCAAGAGCAGCGAGCGACTTGTTAATATGTTGCGTCTCTCGCAATCGATCATTTTCCACTTGGCTACGTGCAATGCGTTCAGAGCCAGCTAAATCCACCAAACACAAAGTACTCATTCGCACCTCGCGCGTCTCTCGGTGCTGACTTTTAAGATGCAAGAACACAAGCGCATGAGATCGACTACTCTCTACATTCATCTTAGTCGCTGCAATATTCCGATGAGCGTTTCCATCACGTATCGCAGCATTCACTTGATCATATGATTCAACGTCACGAGCCGTGATTTCCTTCTCAGATTTCACAACTACGTTCTGACCTGTTCCAGCGTTGCTTTCATGCAACAGGTCGAGAATCTGATCGTTGTAGATTTCAACCATACTCACACGAAGTGAATCTTGATACATCACGTGTCGCTTTTGTACCACGCTAAATACATGCTCCAACGCGCGTGGAATCATTCCAGCACCAGCATGAACCATCCGCCCATTTATAAGATCTTCCAACAGTCCGTCTTCACTTCCAACCATCGTATGTGTCTTGCCCGATCCGGTCTGTCCGTACGCCAAAATGCACGCATTGTATCCATCCATGAACGATGCAACGAGTGGATTTAACTCTGCGTACACTTCTTGCTGCGTACACTGTGGTCCAAACACTTGATCGAAAGCAAATTCTTTTTGAGAGCTCGTAACCAGTAAATTATTCGGTCGTGGAATTTCTACCGCCAGTGTCTTACCCTCATTTGCTGTTCGACTAGGTCGAACGCGACAATAAACTCGAATTCGTCCGGACAGTTCGTAATACTTTTCCAACATCATTGTTCGCTCTTTCTTCTCAGCAACATAATTCTGTTGTAGCAAAGATTCTCGTCGCGTTACTTGCTCTTCTAGCGTACTCATTCCGCTCTGTACTGTACTCATGAGATCATTAAAATCGTGCTTGACCTGTTCCTTTAACGCTGCAACTTCTTGCTGCACCTTTCGTAATTCTTGAACTGTACAATCAGCTACAGTCTTCCATTTGACAATAGCACTCCCTAAGTGCAGCGTCTGATACTGTAACAACTCATTCTTCTGTACCAATTCTTCGAATTCAACTTCCTGTTGTTCCGCTTGTTCCAATTGCACACGAAGCGCAGTATTCTCTTCTGTGAGACTTAATTGAAGCGCTTTCGCACCTTTCCATTTAATATAAAGACGCTTTCGCTCGTATTCAAGCTCTAAGAGACGACTTTGGAATGCAGCAAGCGAATCACCTTGTTCATTCGAGATTATTGCATCGCTTGTACTTCCACGAAGGTACGTTTTACTTGTTTGTTCATGCAGCAGTTGAGTGATACGCTCTAGTACTTCCTCAGGTGGTAAGTCTTCGTATTGAGGAATATGTACTGCCATCGTGTCGAATTCAAGTTGAGAAAGGACCAAAGTCACGTATTCATTCGACTCTGGCTGTTTAAACGGCACTTGAATGACGTTACGACCGTACATGAAGCGATGCGCTGTCATTTGAGACAACATCAAATGATGTGAACCGTCTGCATCGAGTAGAGCGTCGAGTGATGAAGTGGAAGACGTAGACGACGTGGGGGAATGCATTCGCAGTGACGTTGACCACAGCGGCCTCGACGTGTGAGAGACAGAATGCTAGGTAGAAAAGGGACCAGGATTCCACCGGTTCAGCACATAGCTACGTACATCTTTAGGGCACAAAGCGTTTGGATCATGTAAGGTAGCTTTCCGAAACTGAATGGTACTAGATTTCGAACTGGTTGATAGCATTTTGAACTGAATAGTACTTGACTTTTTAGGGCTGCATCCAGATAAAGTGAATGGTCCACGTGCGACTTGTACATCTTGTTCACATCACAAGCTCAAGTTCCATGTTTGGTAACGTATAATCCGCTAGATGATAAACTAACATCAAAACAACTTGTGGAGTCTGCTGAACGCTTCAGTCGAAAGTAAAGAAGAAAATGGATATGCTAGACTTGAGTGTGTAGTCAATAGTGGCAATACCGTCACAACAGAAGGTAGAGATAATTTGAATCAAATCAAGTGCAATTTCTTAAATTTTGCTACGTCTCGCTATCGTTCTGGTTCGCAATCTAATCATGTAAAATGAGATGTCGTCTTGAAAGTATCAATCTTCATTGATAATACACGTGATCAATGCTTACGTCTTGTTCACGCTTCTCCCCAAATCTCTCAATCAATCAACAATTTACACATCTTGAGTCTCACCCAAAGAGAAGAAAGTGCTTCAGTCGGTAGCGGCGGCGACGATTCGTGTCGTCGTCATCACTTTCATACCAATGTCGATGGCGTTTCTGGGTTTTCTTTTCGACAGGTTTCACAGCATGACCAGTATATTGTTCAGTACTTGACGCCTCCCTTAGTGCTCGGACCTTCGCGCTAAGCGCACAATTAAATGCAATCGATGAAGTTATAAATACGATCACTAAGAAATATAATCGCATTCTTAGGTGGTGATGAAACGTGAGAATGACTTGAGTTGGTGGCCTCGGCGTATTTACAGTAGAATAAATCCGGACAACTGACGCACAACTGATTCTAAAACATCCTGATATCAGAACTTAAGGATAATGCTAAAAAACACACGTGTGTTTCCTATAAATAACAAAAGGCTCTTGTAGAGAGAGAAAATAACTCCCATTATGACCAATCATCTAAGCGACGTTTATGAACTTTGCACAAGTAAAGCTTCGACTTGAAAATTTCAAACACAAAGGAGCTAGGTTTGCGTGTGCTTACCAACAGAACTACCTCAACGAAGGATGCTGCTGCTATATTTCTATTTAGATTGATACTTAGTACATGCGTTGTACTACTTGTCAAGTACTATAATCTTATATACTTAGTCTTCTATTAGGTGCGACTGGTCAAACTTTACATCCTACTTTCAAAAGTGTCAGAATATCGATATTTATGAAGATCCGGCTAAAAACTTAAAAATTAAGATTTCTTTGGATTGCCTGTTTTTTCATATTTATTCAACCCGCGTTTTCGGGGTAGTCCAACAAGGTTTGCTATAAGACTCTTTGCCAATTCCTGATCTCCACTCGCGTAAAGGACCACGCGAAACTGAGTATTGTTCTTCCCTTCATTTACTATAAAGAGCGAATGTGAACCTATTCCGTGAATCGATTGAGGAAATCATAGTTGTAAAGCTCCGTGGATCTAATTAAAGAAATACTTAATTTGATTGCTGCTAAGACTGCAACAAGAAGAAAAAAATTGCGGACCATGACATGGTGAACTCGTACAGCTCGCAATCTCTAACTTTCGAGCTCACGCAATGCGTGAAGGTGAAGCAACGAAAATTAAAAATTTTGCACCTGGCGGGGTGTAGCTAACAGCATCACTAGTTGTTTATCATTAATTTAGTTAGGATTGTTAGCGCTAGATCAATCCCATAAACTTCGCTACACTCGCCACGTATCATGCAACCAAACTGCCGTGAACCTCGCACAGATAAAGCTCTGACTTTTAAGTTCAGATTAATCTACGCACAGAGAATGGGCTCTCTGACAGCCAAATTTTGAGGAATTCGAACTTTTCGAAGTAAAGCTAGCGTAAGATATTACTATGTCGTACTACTTGTCATTAAAATCATAGCGCAGTCCATGAGTCCCACATTGCTGAGTCTCATCATACTCAGCCGTACCGATTTCTAATTATAATACTTCATCAAAGTATTTCGTCTTGGTTCGAGAGGCAATTGTGTAATGCATACGCTCACCATGATAAGGCACTTTCCTTTTCACTTCCTCCAGTAAAATGATATCCAGAACAAGGTAGTAAGTACCCAGTGAGAACTTCATACGGATCTGCTGTACCAGAAGTTCGCCATCCGATTGCACGTACTTGAGCTAGCTTCTACGAAAGCATTACATGCATCAAGTGCAGCTTTACAAAGAGAAGCTATGACTCTCAGATCTGGCATTACCAAACGCACAGAGATTGGTTCCTACCTCTGATAGCCAGATACATATTTTAATCATTTCTGTTAATGAAAATTTCTTCCTCTACCTCTTCCTAAACTATCATTCAATAATTTTTGTCGGGTCTTGTCCATAAGATTCGTGCGATTGTTTGCTGCGTTTGGTACGTAGACTTTCTCAACCCGACCAGACTAATAAATGAGAACCTTAGCTATCCAGTACATATTCACAAGCACTTGAATTTCCCACTCTCCGCCTTTCTGGTTAGCAGACAGGCTCAACTCTTTCAATGAAGCAAGTGTCACGTTTCGCGACTGTCAACAGCTAAAATTCCTTGGCCATCGATTCTTTCCGAGCTTGGATCAGGCGTTAAGAGACATAACGATGGCGTCAAAGAAATCTCAGTACTATTCTCAATTACTTCAATTATTTTAAATGATTTAGATGGTAATATTTCCAAAAGTCTTGACAGGTAGCCGATTTTCAGCCAACCAATCGGCTGATTGCGAGATTAATTTCTCCCTTACTCTCTCTGCTTTGTGCGACGACGGCACGAACACTACCTCTTCGGTTCCCTGTGCGCGGTCGTCGCGATGGAGTCTCTTGAGTCTTTTAAAGAGCAGGAAGAAAAGTCGAATAACCATGAGGTGGATTCTAGCTCCGACTCTTATGACAAGTACTTGTCTCGCCAAGCCACTGCCATTTCTAGTAGCAGCTATTCTGACTCAGGTGATGGCACACGGTACCGCGACTTGGCAGACGAAGGGAAGGTACCACCACCTGCTCCACTTTCTATCGATGAAGAAGAACGTGTAACTACATCATCAAGAGTGCAAACAGTTCAGTCGGCATCCAACGTCTTGGCTTTATCATCGCGTGGCCGTGGTACTGACAATTTTACTGCTTCTGTACCCATGAGACGCTACAATAGCTCAACTGCAATGATGCAGGCGAGTTCAGAGCGTAAGCGCAGTTTAGGAACTTCGAACGGTACTACTGCTATCATGCGGGCATCAAAGGGAAAAGGTGGCGACGATCGTACAGGGTTTGCTCGAATTTACTTTGAAAACAATAATTTTACATCTTCAACAGTGTTTAAATTACTCAGTAGCACAACAGTGCTCGAGGTAAGGCAGTCCATGGCCGCAAAGATTAAAATTCCAGTGCACGAGTTTATAAATTACGCTGTTGTGGTCGTATTTCCGACGGACAATGCTGGATCACTATCGGCACGAACTTTAAGAGACGAAGAACTTATTTTACCACTGGTGGAGCGCCTAAATCGGGCGCGACCCGTGCAGACCGTGGAAGCAGATGACACACCTGCAAATACTAACGGTCCAAAACTCAAACATCGGTCGAGGCCGCCTGTCAAATTTGTATTGAAGGTAAAAAGCGAAGAGATTGGTTCTTATGATCATGTTCTGTTTTGTTGATATATCGTTATTAAAATAGGATGTTCGGGGCTCTCATCTGGATATCAGTGAAAGCGCAGCGCCGTCTCGACGACAGCGGTCGAGAGAAAAGCAGTCGATTATTCCAGTTTTATTAGGAAAGGTAAATTTTGAGTAGTGGTCACTTTAATGATGATATGGTAGATGAAGCGCTGACAGTAATTTTTTAAGGGTGTACATTCAGGATATCTTCAAAAGGCGAGCTCGAGAGATTCAAGTCTTTGGAGAAAGCGGTGGTTTATCATAAAGGGAGACCAGCTTTATTATTGTAAATCTCATGTTAATCAGCGAGAAGTCACTTCAATTAGTCTGCTTGGTGCTGTTCTTGCCAAAGCCAAACCCGAAGTGGTATGTGGTTGCTTTCATGACAACATCTTGGTTCTTTAGCTTATCTCATTACGTTTTTCGTTACTCTATAGCGCGTACCCTTTTCGTTTCAGCTCAAGACTCCTAGGCGGGACTATGAGCTCTGCGCTAGTAGCAAGGACGAGATGGTAGCTTGGATTCACGCTTTACATGTCCAAATTGGCCTATGCTCTGAGAATCATCGTTTGTATGAAGCCGAAATTTGGATAACTGAAGACGTAAGAGCTTATATTGCACCAGATTAGGCTGGCGTTTTGTTGTCAAGCTGACACTAAACTGTATCTGTCTAGGCTGTGAATCGAAGCGAGCAAGAAGCGTGTATCCTGCCAGCAACAGAGCCTTCGTTGCTCGAGCGTGTGCTCTCCCGAGAAGATACGCTCAAATTATTTCGTGACTTTGTTTCTACGACCCAATTTCAAAACTTGCTTGACACGTGGATTGAGTGCGAATTGTTTCGCCGAAGTTGTTTAGCCCGCGAGAATGGACTTGTAACAATGTCAACTCAACGTACAGCGCAAGACGAATGGGACCATTTGAAATCGATTATCCAGGCAATTCAGTTGCTTAGCATTGCACATGCTAATGACTTAAACGACCTGCTACAATCGTTTGAGTCCGAGCATAGTAATCATCAGCTCAGTACAGTTTCAAATGGCGACGGCAAGGTTGACTTTCCGCATACTAATGTGATTGTTCCCATTCAGCAGAGACTATTTAAGGCAATTGAGGCCGGACCATTTCAGCAGTTTCTTCTTCAGAACGGATACCGACTTTTGCTGGAGCGTATAATTGGGGCCATCGCATAAATGCGGCACTCTATAGTAGACACAGCATCTTTCGAAGATTTTGGCTTGCTGGTCTTGTAGATAGTTTTGGTCAGACGTGTACAATATAGAAAACAATTCACGACCGTAATCAACGTGTATTAACTTTGTAGTTCTAAGTCTTGCGACGAGTCATATGATCGTAAAGTACAACTTGAAGATATTCTTTTGTCTTGATCTCTGTGCGTGTTGAGTTGTCCCCTGGATTTGCCTACCATTTAATAAATCGAATCACGATTAGCAGCAACAAAAAGATTCTTTCAGTTTTCTCACTTTTGGATCAACATTCACGACTTTCCTGTCGCGCTTATTCTTAAACAAGAGACCCGTTTCGCTATCAGCAATCACTTGAAAGTTTGGCGTTGAGTTTGAAGTCGACGTCTGAGTTTCCCAATTGTAATAGCTCAAATCTGAAGATTTTGGTAGCAACTTTTTCTTTTGTTCGAAATACAATTCAAATGGCTCAGTCTTTAGACGCAATGCGTAGTCGATATACCCGCTAATCTCTTGACCCTTCACATTCTTGTCTCGTATAAAAATGATACACTAGAAACATAAACCTCAAGATTTCAAAAAAGATTCAACACATTCGTCAAGATTTGACCTTACGGTTAATTTTCCATTTCGAACGAGATCTTCCCGACTTGCTAAAGCTGCCAAGAATGGATATTGAGACAAATCTTTTCCAGCACTTGCGAGAGGCTTCAAAACACTTGCTTTATGTGTATTGCGCTCTCGCTCGGCTTTCTTCCTCGCCTCAAAATCGTCACGACGCAATGTCTCGCCACTTCCACGATAGCCTAACTCCACTAGCTGTCGAGCAAGTTCTTCATCTTCAAGATAAAAGCGATCAGTCTCGCTTAATCGCGAGTCCAAGTAATCCTCATATGTAGGAAAACAATTCAATGATTCACTTGCATACTGATAGTCCTGAAGCTCTCCCATTCTGACTAAAGCGAAAAGGCACAAACCTACTTGTTCCGAGAGAAAGATTGCTTCTAGTAGACTTTTATTTGCATTCAAGAGTTATTTTTGTCAAAAGTAAGCTATTCAGCTTTTTCTGAACATACAGATACAAAGTTTGTGGTTTGATGGATTGTAAGGAATAGGAATAGTTGATGAACACGAAGAAAAAATGATTTATTTGAGACTTATATGGCTGTTTTTCTAGTGTCAGAAACATGGTATTATAAGAATTGCGAAACAAAGGAAGACGTGCTGTTTCGAGTTATTGAGATCGTATTGCTGGTGGTGTGGCTTGAGTCGAGGCGAAGCGAAGTTGTTTGAAGTTAAATGCAAGGTCGAAGGCGTCAAGCAAAACATATTTCTCGTAGAGCGCCTTGTACAGGTGCCACTCCAAGTAAAATCACCGCGCTAAAAAAGGCGGCTAATTCATGATGTCGCATAAATTATTAACCACCAGGATGCTCAATCCTGCAAGTTGAATATACGTGTTTTGTTTATTTGTTTGAGGAAGGCTCCAGTCACACCACAATGACCGTTTGGAGATATCAGCCTGTGAGACAGACTCAAATAGAGCTTATGCGTGTGTACTGGGGGGGTACGTTGGCCAAAAAAATATATCCACTGGTTATTTTTCATAGTACTAACTCAAGTCCCCCGAAGGCCAGGTACGTGAGCGGTTGTTTACAAAAAATGTAACTCTTCAGGTAAGATGCTGTGTTGCAACCCGCTGCACTTGATAGCACTCGTAGTCACCCTCGTATTTTCTGACGGACCAAAACAAATTCGGTTTGTAGACTCTCGATCGTGAGATAATTCGTTACGTTAGTAGATTGTCTAGGACAAGTCTGTCGGAGCTCGAGTGCATCGTAAGCATTTGAGGCTTTACGGGTCCTTTATTAACGGAAGAAAAGTGAAACTGTTACTGCTCCCCTTGCTCAACACACAGATGTATTTTCAGGGTCTCCGCGTACTGACGACTGTTTTGACAGTCTCGCGACTAAGAAATCACATTACGTGAGACGCCAGCTTTTTTATGGGTCGCATGGGTGAAGATACCAATCTTGAGGCTGTTGCTTTATCAGCATTTCTGCGAGCGGGTGAATACGCTCCGCTAACAGCAAGATATATTAAGAGCCCAAGGAGGGCGCTAGAAGTGGATATGAAATACTTCGTCGCTGGTAAATATCTCTATGACCGTGACCGGTCATACTAGCGTGCAATCACAAGGCAGGTAACAAATTACAGCTATGGGAGGCGCAAGTGACACTTGATAAGTGTGTAACATTTGTTACGCACTCAGTACGTGGACTCAGAAACGCTACGACAAGTCATGCAGCCAATAACTACAAAGGGAATAGCCGCTACTTATACCAAAAACATAGCTCACACTGTATCGTAGTCATAGAACCACCATCACATGTTGCTAAGTCAATAACTGATATGAAATTTTCCCTGTGTGCTCTCTTGGTTGCGTTGAGGCACCACATGATGCGGATAATGTGTTTCGCACAGTGTCGAGAAGATGAAAGATACTGCCCCTGAGACAACACTATAATGGGCGGTATCAATCGAAAGATGCGGGTGGAGAATTATTCCCAGGTCATAGCGACCAAAAGTCATACGACGTGACTTCCCGCTTCGAAAGGATTGTGGTGTGTCATTGTACCTACGACAACGGGACAATCTGTCGCGTAAGAACAAATGATATTGGGTGTGAGGCAATACTGAGATATTCAAAAATACTGCGGCTTGAAATCGCAAAGTCTCTAAGCGCACAATCTAGCAAAATTGTGAAATTCATGCTACTAGAGTCGAAAAGCAATTTGTGGATCTGAATGAATTTTTCAGACAAAATAGAGTGTTCCTCGGGAGTTCTGTATTTAGCGATAGACGCATCTTGACTCCGAGAAAGTGAAAGATCCAAATGATTTGGTGTCTCCGTTGCTATCGAAGTAAACAGATCTGACTCACCACTTAAACTACCATGAAGTTGATCTCGTGATAAGCACGACGATTGTGGCACATCATCCCTCGCGAGCAGTGCATTTTAGCTGCTACACAAAGTCTATCATAAAGTAAGACATACCACTTACAGCAGTAAACCCCCATAGCAGTTTGCTCAGGGAGAGGCTCGTGGCGCCACTAGATCTTTAAACGCTTTAGCGCTCTCAAATACTTGGTCACAGGGTTTGTGAGACACGTATGTACGCGCGACTTGAATATATAATTTTGTAGCCGGTCTGAAGGTAGACTGCTAGCTATGAAATGCAGTTCGTCACGTATTTGAGGTCTTAAGAGTCAACAATCTATATGCGAACATTGTCATACGCGTCTTGAAGGTCAGAAAAATAAAAGTTTATAGTCGCTCTGTGAGCAGCACCAAAATTCGTGCAGACTCCGCGGAATATACAATCATTAGATTATGGCTGATACCTCAGTCTCATAATAGAATGTGAATGATCAACTGTTCTGATCAAGTACAGAGCAGAGTACTGAAGTCGAAATCGCTTGGAAGAACGTGTTATTTGCAGTATTTTGTGAGCGTTAAGGCGAGCTTACAGAAAATGTCCGTCCAGCTTTTGCCAAACAAGGTAAAAATTGCGCGTCGTGTATTACGCTGGATACTTGTCTCGCTAAGCGTTACTGCGGCTAACGATGGAATTTTATTTGTAGCAGTCCAGATTCACACGAATGCTGAGAAAAACTAGCCTATCAAAAACATAGATCTCCACGTGGCAGCCTGTGTGCGCAAAACAGTCAGTGAGACTTTGTGACCTCCATCAACACGCCATAACGGATTGTCAGATGGATGTCGTTGATCGCGAGAATAAACTTTCGCACTGGATACAATCCAGGAATGCTATACGTGCTTACCGGTGCTTCATCGAGTCGACCTGACGATGAGCTAATACCAATCAGTATGGCGCTTTATGACAAAATTTGTTAGGCGTATAGTGAAGATGCTGAATATAAAATCTTTGTAAAGTTCCATTTTAGCAGGCGAAAGCTTCAAAATCAAGCAGTTGGACCAGCAACAGTAATCACAGTTACATCACTACAGATGGTATGGCTATTCACATTATTATACACTTCAACATGAAGAACAACTGAGAGTTGTTTATTCGAGCTACGAAAATCCAAAGTTTTACGTACGTCTGAATGTGCACAATGCGCGTCCTGATGGCATATTGACCCCTAAAAGACCTTGCGGTTCCTCGTGGATTCTGGTGACCGAATTAGCCAAAGTCTTCCTTCAAATAAGTACAAACGTTTGAATCGAGGTAGCGGAATAAACGAAATCTCACTAATTGGCTCGATTACACAGCCTATCCACCGTAATGGTTAGCTTCATGTTCGGTTTTGACTGGCTACTTGACAAGAGGGAACATAATTAATTTACCGGCTGAGCCAAATAGTGCATCTCGCTTCAGTAAATTATAATTTATTTCATGGTACGCCTAAAATTAATAATGTAGATTTAGACCCACGCATCACCGTTGTGCTGAAATCGCAGTTCTCATTCCACAGCCGACCGTCTAAAGACGAGAATTAAGACCGAGAGAGTCAGTTGTGTGGTCGAAGACAAATCGCGCTGTTTTTGTGCTGCTGAGCATATTTATTTATCGCTAATATGTTTTGCACTGAACAATGCAAATCACATATCTGCAAGTTTGACCTAACTTACGAGCGAGGAAAATTATCTCCGGGCCGATCATATTCAATTTACCCATGAAAGCGCTAATGTAAAGTTTTAAGTTAACTCGGAAAACACTTTTCTCGCTGGTTTTGATGTGAGCCCGATTTCCTGCCGAAAACCTGGCGGCAAGGTTGTGAAAGATTAATTAAAAGCATATAAAGTGATAATAGCGTTCGGGGAAATAATAACTTAAATCACAAAGCTACTTTGATGTGGCGTTATTCCATCAAGAGCACCTAAACGCTTGAGCCAAAAAGCTTCAGCTTGACATTTCGAGTCACTGACGGTCCATCCTACTAATTAAATGGGCCGCCTTACCAGGTATCAGGATCCACATGGTCTAATTGTCTTTATAAGGTGCAATTAATTTTATATCAACAATTTATAATATGAGAGCGCCAGGTTTAAGTTCTGCTAGATTCGGCCCTGCTTGACGAGCTTTTCACCGCTTCATGACCATCGAACGGATATGAACGATAGAGGGGGCTCGCATACAATTGCCACAGTAATATACATCATTTGAAAGGCATTATTAAGCCATATGGCCGGCTATAGGGCGATTGTTCAGGTGCTATTATGCTATCGTAGCATAATAGCACCTGAACAATCGCCCTAGAAATCGTAAAGTAGTATTTATTTCTTAACCAAAAAACGGGGTACGGAGAAATCACCAAGTCACTCCAGGCCTGCGCTCTTGTAAGCGCTTGCTTTAGACTTTAGTTAGGCCCTTACATCTTCGTGGGGGCACAAAAAGTGAGAAAACTTTGTTTAAGGCTGCTTCGATCGATAACTCGAACAAAGGATTTGATTTTCGGAGAGTGGTTAAGCCTACTCCCATTACGTGATGTTCTGAGGTGTCTCGCAAACAATACTCCCATATCGGCTCGATACCACCCTCATTCTTTGCATGTTTACACGGTTTGTATGTTGCTCTAGCGGATCTTGATGTGGTATTTGCAGCATTAATCGAGCCAATGCTAAGTTGGTTTGAAACAAAGATTTTTTTATGGGATTGTACTTGTAAGCACCACAGGGTGTGTAGCCACCTATCCGTTCACGCGGAGTATATTAGTGCCCAAAACATGACGCACGACGAGCGGGTGATAGCCCGTGGGACGAATTGATCTAATGCGTGAAGAAGTGGCACATTCTCTTGATGGTGGCAATGAATTGTCGAGCACTAGTGTAGAAACTAAGCAGTAGCCTTCTGCTCATCGAAGTCATTGAAGTCCTCTTGAATACGATATTAGCTTTCGTTCGTTTGGCTCTAAATATTGATCATGTTGCTGATGAGTCACACAAGAGGGTGTGACGCTCAATATAAAGACCACCCTGACCGCCAAATTTCGCACTTTCCCACCTGCAGAGCGTTACAAGCTTTGTCAGCGAGTGTGTCTCCTTACAAACCGTATCGTGTGCATTTATTGTATTGTGGTTTACCCGTCAAGCAAATCAGCGGATTTTATCCAGAGTGACGAACTCGCAAAGTCGAAACGGCAGTGTACCCCCTGCTGAAACTGTAAATGCCTCCTTGTTCGCATAGGGTCTCCGTACAGATATGGCTCACACCAAGACCTATTAATAGTCCTACATCTTTTTAAGGATGCGGTTGGTACTAACGCGAATGTGAAGGACCACCAATTGCGAGGGATGATTGGAGCGCTAATGGCGGAGGAGCTTTGAACTTTCATGCGAAATTTCTCCTCAGCCAAGTTTAAATGTTAATGTTTTCGTTGCCAAGCAGCACCGTGATACCTACAGATTTTTTACCTGTAGCAAGACCAAACATCTTTGCTCTGCCTATCCCGTCTCTCACACTTAAGAATTGTGAGACATGAAGCTCTCACGCAGAGTCGACCGACACGCTCCTCGCGGGAAACGTCAAGATAAAAGCAAGAAAGCTCTCATCACTCGTAAAAAAGGGACAGTAAGTTAGCTTGCCGAATGCGGACACCATAATTGTGCATCTTGCGGTGAATCAACCAGTTTAAAGTGCCCAATGCTGTCCAATCCTATTTTGACGCAATTTCTGAAGAGTCTGGTGATTTCTGTGGCGCGGGTTTTAAGTGCAAATACTGTACAAGACAAAAGGTGAGCACCTCGGTTACGGCGCAGTAAGCTGAGGTCGTTATGTGCTAATAAAAATTGCGAACAAAGTGGTAAGAGTTAATGTGCGAACGTGTGAAACTAGCTACGGCTGGTCTCGCAGCTCCAACACTTTATAAGCCGCATTGGATTTGTGATTGTTTACATGACGCGCTCGGCAACTCTGCCACTGTTCATCTAGCTACTGTCAGCACCACTACTACAGTTAAAATCACAGCTTAGTTGTTTCTCTACAAAGCTTTTCGCCAGCATGGATTTGCCGGTAGCCATAGTATCAACCATCGATTTACAGCGAGGGTTTCGCAAGCATTATCTGTGGTGTTCGCTATCATAGTGGCTAAAATTACCGCTGGCCATCCCTAAAGACGATAGATGTTCAAATAAGACACGATATTTGGATAGTGTCCTATGAAGACTGTGGACAGAAATGTGTTTATTTCACCCATTGGTTCTACGGTGAATATAGCAGTACATGTCTATACAGACTAAACCGCGAGCAATATTAACAACTTATCAAATTCCGAGGTGCCTTTGAGGCCGCCACAAAGTGGCCCCAGCCGTAGTTGAAATCAGGCAGTCCATTTTTATTCACTTGCTGATATCAGCCCAGCTACACCACGCAGAAAATCTTATCTCAATAAGATTGAGTGACATCCGACGGGCGCGCGACGCTATGGATGAGAGCCTAGACAGACGATGGCAGTGTACCGATGAATGATGCAGGTGGAATGCACATGAACGTTTCGACAGGCAAAAGATTGATTTTATTAACTGCAGTAGTATTGCCTACACATGCAGTATCTGCGGTCTAAAAGTCCGAGTTACTACCGCGCTATTAGCTGATCGGAACAAAATAAGCTCTTTAAGCCAGGCAGTGCGATGATGAAGCTCAGCAAGCTTCGATCTGGCTAGACTTCGCCTCAACCCCACGTAAAGGCCTTTCATGGAGGGTTGACAGGTCGCCACAACTCGAGACAGCTCTCGAGAGCCAGCCGCAGGAGGGGTTGACCTCCGTCGTCATCGTCGATGATCAAGAGTTGATCGAATTTCATGTGATACACTGGTGGGGCGACAAGATGTGGCCGCTGACAACTTGGCATATCCTCGCCCTAAATATTCTGCTCAAAGATGCGGATTTGCCTGTTGCAGCGTAGTGATTGGCGACTTACCTTGCGGTGTCCTCGATTAGTTGCTGTTTCAGCTGCTCATGAACACAAGTGGGTTCTAAGAACGAAAAAGGTGTTGCATTGCACCTTAATGTTCTCATCCTGTTTAGTACTTTGCTTCGTCAAACATGAGACGACGCATTACACAGAATTCTGCGTCGTTTGTAAGGACTAAAGATGGTGAGGTGGCATGTCTTCTACACCCAGTGCGCAAACCGAATCAATTACTTAGCAAGACTTTCGTCAGCTTTAGTACCCGAGGTGCATATCTCACGGAAATTACGGTTTTCCCAGCCGCTGCTGCTCCAAGTGCAGCCGGATTTCCTGGGGAATGATGATCAGGTGCTTGAGAAAGTGCTCCTTCCCGCTGTGCATGAGCTGAGAGTCCATATGTATAATAATCCTGTTTGAGCTTTGCACCAACGCGGCGAGCAAATTGAGATGGTCTTTAACATAATCAAGGTGTGATCTGAGCAGGAATCGACGTAGCTCTTGCGCTTGCAGTAAAGCAAGCTAGGTACACTGAGCAAGGATCAGCTCGTTATGAACGATCTGGTCATCGTCGTGAGCTTCATATGACTCTGTAACGAGATACATTTCTCCAATGGAAAGGGCCGAGACCGAGACAGCCGGAAAATATCTCGACATCCTCGTCAAGAAAATCTTCAAGCGCGTTGATCGCAAAGACCAGACTTTTGGCTGGGGCTTGTCAAGCCGTTTATTTTGGTGCATGGAAGCGAATGTTCAGTATGATGAGAAGACACGTTAGGTGCAGAGATTGGAGTGAAAATCAAGGCGAAAAGGCTGCTTTGAGAGCGGTCACTCTCACGCAGAGTCTTAAAGGACAAAAAAGAGTGAGCTCCAGTGTTGCTCATACGGTGGGATGCGGCAAGTACTGTTATTTTGCGTACTTAGCCTCACACATTTGGTGTAATATAATAAGATGGTACAGTTGTACAAATCTCAAAGCACTTGGCGGGATTGAAAACATTCATAAGTACCGCATTTTCGGTATTTATAAAGATGATGGAGTTTTGGAAACAGGTTCACGTGGGCTGTGCCAGCTGTACGTTTAAAAAAGCTACGAACCAATCGTGATAGATAGTTGAACGTGTTGATCTAGTATCAGTCCGAATGACAGAAACCGTTGTCATACTTACTCTTGATGAAGCTGGGCTGCCGTAGCTTTTTCGCTTAGAGGAAGGTTATTTAGATCGGCGACCTTTGTACTATACTTCGAGTGTCACGGACCGCCATCCGCCAACTTCAAGAGTATTACAACCTCAACTCAAGGCTAGTGAGCACTTCCGTTTAAAATGTAAATTGTATTTCTCGGTTTTATTTGCGGCAAAGCCGCCTATATCTAAATCTATAGGGTTTTCTATTTGTAAAGTAAATGTTGAGACTAGTTTGCAGTAGAACGCAAATGTGAAGTGAATATATTATAGGTCCTTAGTTCGCAAAAACGCTTGCTACCTCTAA